GGGGGCACAAAAAGTTCTGTATAGAATATAATTTTAACGATCCCAAAATTATGTTAATGAAATATTGATGTTTCCCCATTGAAAAGTTAGGGTCATGACCTTTTATCTCTCGCCCTTGACTTTTGCTCTCTTGCGTCTGATGTTGCTCCATCAAACAGGATCCGAGTGACTTTTCAAACTGGAATTTAGAGGGAAGTTACGTCTTTTTTTGGTGCTCGAGGTTGACAATTAAAATCAGTCAAGCTATAAATGTCCTTTAAAAATTGCTATTTCACCATTAATGGTCCGTGCATTTAGACTTATTGTGCTACCAAAACTACGTAACATATTCTTATTCTTGTTACACTATTGCCCCCCGAGAAAGAATTTATCAGTGGAAAACAGCTACCGGTATACGCAACATCAATAAATATAGTGAATTCTAAAACAACTACTAGTAGGCTATAAACGGACTATCATAAAAAATATCAATGAAACCAGGGAAAGTTACACAATGGTAATTGAGGTCAAAATTATAAGAATTGAAATCATAAAACAATCATCATCTTTAGCATCGTTATTAGGCCTATTATAGGCCTATGACAATTTTAAAAGTAAGCCTACATATAATTTTATTGTTAAATCAATAATAAAACATGCCAGACCAGACAGCGTCTTGCACACAATAGGCCCTACTCGTTCTGCATTTCACATTGGATATTGAGACGTACATGTAGGTTAAACCAAGTTCGCCAGGTGACAGGTAAAGACTGACAGGTAAAGTCTATTCATCGCTGAGTGTGTCAGATTGTTATCGGATGGTTTGCTACCGATGTGTGAAAGTTTCTGAACCTTGGCGTAGTTGATAAAATCACAAAAACTCCGACAAAAGAATAGAGTGTAGTTTTGTGGTAGGGGGGCCTACGTATTTCTTGGCCCCTTCCAAGATCTAATAAACGGATATTATGGTATATGAGATCTTAGGTCCCTTTAACCTGTTTGTCACCATAAGACAAGTAGGCCCTACGTTTCTCCAGGACAGCAATCACTACTCCACATTGTGGTCAGGTAGCTGCGGTGAGGGACGATATCTACTGAAACTGTCAATTAAAAGGCGCATTTAATTTGCTAATATCCAAAACTCTTGTGACCAATTAATTTTTTTTTTTTTTTTTTTTTTTTTTTTTTTTTTTTTTTGTTTGTTTGTTTGAGTTGAATGATGGGGCCACTGTCTGGCCCCTCTATGGTGCGCCGTTCGTCTTTGCAAAAAAATACATTTGAAATGGATCAATTCAGTTTTATCATAGAAGCAGTCTTCATTGAATTGGACTCTGAATTTGTACAAATAGAGTTTTAACTTTAAAAGAAATATATAAAAGAGGTGAAATGGACAATCAGGTTTCAAATCAAATTACATTATTGTCCTAGCAGCTAGCTAGTAGTTTTGAAAACTATTTGTGCCGATGACGTCATCATTCTTTGAGCTCAAACTCTGATGAAATAAAAATCCAGCATTGGGCCATGGATAAGCGTAGGTAGAGTCGTGCTTTCGAATTTTCTCCTTTCTTTGTTTAAAAATCTGATTAAATAGGAATTCACGTTTGAAGATCGAAGTAACTTAATTTTTTAAGTAACAGATTGTTTTTTATCCAGTTGGTTGCATTAACATCTAATCATCGTTACGATTAACCTACATGTATGATTATTTTAGTCTGGGAACACACAGTGGGAAGGAACCACACAAATGCCTGTCCTGTGATAGGACCTGCTCTGTGATAAGTTTCAAGGAGACATTATGAACATGATGGAAGAATGCACAAAGGCGGGAGACCAATCTTACAAATGTCAGTACTGTGATGAGATGTTTGCTGCAAAATGGAGCTGCGAAGTTCATGAACGAATTCACACTGATGAAAAAACACAGAAATACCAGTACTGTAATAAGACATTTATGAAAGAGCAAGATTGTATTGATCATGTAAAAATTCACACAGGAGAGAAACCATACAAATGTCAGCACTGTGATAAGACATTTACACATAAAAGTAATTGTGTTCTGCATGAAAAAATTAACACGGGAGAGAAACCATTCAAATGTCAGCACTGTGATAAGACATTTACTGCAAAAAAGTATTGCATTGAACATGAAAAAATTCACACAGGAGTGAAACCATACAAATGTCAGTACTGCAGTAAGACATTTATGAGAAAACAGCAATGCAGTTTTCATGAAAGAGTTCACACAGGAGAGAAACCATACAAATGTCAGTACTGTAGTAAAACATTTGCAAATAAACAACAGTGCAATAGACATGAAATAATTCACACAGGAGAGAAGCCATACAAATGTCAGTACTGTCAGAAGGCATTCACTACGAAAAGGAGTTGTGTTGTTCATGAAAGAATCCATAGAGGAGAGAGAACATACAAATGTCAGTTCTGTCATAAGAAATTTAATCCTACATATAATTCTGATATACATGAAAGAATTCAAACAGGAGAAAAAACATACCAATGCCAGTACTGTAGTATGACAAACAATATTGAATGCCATGACAATGAAAGAATTCACACAAGAGAGAAACCATACAAATGCAAGTATTGTCATAAATCATTTACTCTAAAAAGTAATTGTGTCAGACATGAAAGAATTCACACAGGAGAGAAACCATTCAAATGTCAGCACTGTGATAGGACATTCACTAGTAAAGATAAGTATATTGTACATGAACGAATTCACTTGGGGGAAAAACCCTACAAATGCCAGTATTGCAGTAAGACATTTAATGAAAAAAAATATTACATTACTCATGAAAGAATTCACACCGGAGAGAAACCATTCAGATGCCAGCACTGCAGTAAGACATTTACTGCAAAACGGTATTGCACTGAACACGAAAGAATTCACACAGAGAAACCATACAAATGTCATCACTGCGATAAGGAATTTACTAAAAAATATCTTTGCATTGTTCACGAAAAAATTCACACTGGAGAGAAACCATACAAATGTCAGCACTGTGATAAGACATTTACTCATAAAAACAATTGTGTTCTGCATGAAAAAATTCACACAGGAGAGAAGCCATACAAATGTCAGTACTGTCAGAAGGCATTCACTACGAAAAGGAGTTGTGTTGTTCATGAAAGAATCCATAGAGGAGAGAGAACATACAAATGTCAGTTCTGTCATAAGAAATTTAATCCTTCATATAATTCTGATATACATGAAAGAATTCAAACAGGAGAAAAAACATACCAATGCCAGTACTGTAGTATGACAAACAATATTGAATGCCATGACAATGAAAGAATTCTCACAAGAGAGAAACCATACAAATGCAAGTATTGTCATAAATCATTTACTGTAAAGAGTACTTGTGTCAGACATGAAAGAATTCACACAGGAGAAAAACGATACGAATGTCACCACTGTGATAAGACATTCATTAATAAAGATAAGTATATTGTACATGAAAGAATTCACTTGGGAGAGAAACCCTACAAATGCCAGTATTGCAGTAAGACATTTAATGAAAAAAAGTGTTGCATTAGTCATGAAAGAATTCACACTGGAGAGAAACCATTCAAATGCCAGCACTGCAGTAAGACATTTACTGCAAAACGGTATTGCACTGAACATGAAAGAATTCACACAGGAGTGAAACCATACAAATGTCAGCACTGTGATAAGACATTTATGAGAAAACAGCAGTGCAGTTTTCATGAAAGAGTTCACACAGGAGAGAAACCATACAAATGTCAGTACTGCAGTAAAACATTTTTTAAAAAACAGCAATGCAATGATCATGAAAAAATTCACACTGGAGAGAAGCCATACAAATGTCAGTACTGTAGTAAAACATTTGCAAATAAACAACGGAGCAATGAACATGAAAGGATTCACACTGGAGAGAAACCATGCAAATGCCAGCACTGTAAAAAGACGTTTACTGCAAAACAGTGTTTTGATGAAAAACAACAGGAAATTAAGACTGAAGAAAAACCATACTTGTGTAAATTTTGTTACAAAACGTTTGTCAGCAGTAACGAGTGTAATCTTCATGAAAGTAACCCTCACTGCATGACATCTGATCCAATAGCACAAAGACAGCGGGATACAGAAGTTGATCTTGGTAAAAATCTAGTCTGCCAGAACAGTGCTGAGCCATCACATGAATTAGTCAAAGAAGAAAATGAGGACTATCATCCTGCACAGGAGCCACCATATCCAGTTGCTTTGTTTAAAAATGCATTTGCTTAGACTTTGATTGGAGTGGTATAAACTTTGTTATGATGCAAGAATTGTAAATTCATGAGAAATACATTGTTGTTCTTTAAAGAAAATAAAAAAAATAGGACATTCATGCACAACTTGTACATAATAATGTTATTTGCATGTGCACAATCAAGTTAGTGTAGTTCTTTAGTTTTGATGATAAATGTATTCTACCTTCCTTTCTTGCTTTTTGTGAATATGTTGATGTGATAGTGTGTTTAATTAGCAACTGGACATGGAGGAGGACCCTTAAAACGTGACATTTGGCTTATTGAACCATAGGGTTGAATTTGCAAACTCGAAATATTTTGAGTAGACAAACCCAAGACAACATGCTTTATCCTGCCTTTTCAATATATTTGTATGTTTTGGGAGTTCAATCCCCTTGATGTGGTAGAGAAGAATTCCTTCCCACTATTGTTACTCCTGATCACTGCCCACAAAGGTCGCTGTAGGCCAGGGTAGTCAGTTACAAACTTGTATACTAGAGTGACTACTCGGTTCAGAGGGCAGGGTTAGCTCATAGCATATTTCCTGTATGTTGTACACTATGGTCGGTCCACAATGTTATTAAGCAAGAAGTCGTGCCTGACAGTCCAAAACCTTTATTATCATCTTGTAATTTATAATGCTGAAACGAATATACATTCTTTACATCATGGGCCTACAAAACTTTGTTGCAGTATACCTTACATGGAGGTTAATCAATAGTTCAAACAAGTTAATTTTTGCACTCAGACATATCAGTGTCCATCAGGTTGGAGGTTACAATCACCAGCAAGTCATATCATTGCCCTAATATCCCAAGTTTTTTTAATATTGATAAAACGACTATAAACACACACTGTAAAAATTTAATTTTTCTTGAAATGGAAAGAAAAAAAAAGTATTGTATTGTCCTTCAGCCCTTTTGTAATCTGAACTAAATGTTTTGATTTGTGCTCATTGCTAGGTGCACAAATTTTTTTAATGATATTAAATAATACATTAAATTCTCGGGTAAAATTTGCATGAAAGAAATCACTTTTGTATTAATAAAATCAATATCTTCACATTGGTCATACTATTTTTTCACAAAGTTTTTTTTTGTTTATGTACATGAAATATGTCATTTATTCAATTTATTTTTATTTTTAAATATCTGCTTTATGCATGGTTAATGGGATCTAGTATCTATATCAAGTATTTCATTATCATACGCTAGGTGTGTTCTTAATGCCGTGTCAACTATTGTATATATTGATTGTATGTAGGTCTATTTTAAAACAAGTAAAATCAACTTAATGTTTTGTGTCAACGGCTGACATTCCTGTTAAGTAAGTTAAAGTCCTAAAGTTTACTGTTAGTAAACTTTCCTCCGCATACAGAAGGGTATATCAGCTTCGGTCTTTATTTTTCAAATTTAGAACTATCAGGGGCGGATCCAGGATATTTTCAGGGAGGGGTGGGGGTCCGGTTTTTTAGGGATTTACATGCCTCGGATTGCAAGGCCGACCCTCACCCACTTGGTGTTATGTTCAGGGCACGCTCAAGGGCCACAAAATTTTGGTGTTTTGGAGGGCAAATGGCGTCATTTGGTACGGTTTACAGCTATAATTCATCTAGATGTTTATTTATTTTTATTATTATTATTATTTTTTTTTTTTGTGCAATTTTTTTTATCAAAAATGGAATGGGGGGGGGTGCAGTAGTGCTCTCTTTGACAAGCGTTATATTCTTCCTCAAAATGACTCCTAGCAAAACTGAAATCTATAACCTAGGGTAAGGAAACGGGGCTCCTATTGCACAAATATTGTAATGGGGTGTATAAAAATATTTCCCAGAGAAACAAGAAGGAAAGAAAAAAAACAGACAGGAGAAAGAGTAAATATACATGTACATTTATCAGCAATTTAATATGACGGCAAAATAGGTGTTAATTTTCCTTCTTATGTGAAGAAAGTTGGTAGTCATGACATAGCGATGTTATGATCACGTGACCGGCGTTCTATATAAAACTGTTGCATCCAGGGTGTGACACTAGTGCTCTCCTCCCTTCCCGTACTCTGTTTTATCTGAACTTTGTCTGTCTCTTCACATCGATACGAGGCATCTTGAAGCGAAAAGAACACATACCTCTCCCTTACTCAGTAAACCGTCGGTGTATGAATGGCCAACTGAAGTGCAAAATATCATATCCTCTCCCCTCCCCTCGGAAATTTGATGGATTAGCCTGTATGTGACTCACCCCCTAAACGTTAAAACCATCCCCACCCCAACCCGCCCCTCATCTAAGACACACGGCGTATCTAAAAACCGAACTCTTTGCAAGCAAAATATTTTTCCATTAATATGTATAGGTGCAGATGTGTAGTTTTTTTTTTTATATGAAGGGTGGAAAACAGCAATTTTTTTTATCGTGAATATATAATTGTATTTATTGATTAACATTAAATAAATCTCATGAGTGTGCCTTATATTACTGCCTGGTTGTACATGTATTGTGTAAATAAACTATTTGGTATCACAAAGAGTAAATATGTTTTATGGACTGAGTAGCAGGGTTACGATAACTCGTATCTGTATGTGTCAGGAACATTTTATACCGATACCACGGCGTTTGAGACTTCTACCTAGACCCTTACTTGGGCTACCAAGACCTGTTTTAATCTAAGAACTTATTTCCGTGATATGATACGTAAATGTCAGTTTTGATTGAAAATAATGCACTATCTTTAGCGGCGAACTTGTTTTTAAAACATTCAACCAGCTTCCACTGCAAGCGGTAATGTTAATTAAATAAAAAGAAAGATAATTTTTAAGGATTGTAACTTTATCTGCACCATTTATTTATTTATTTATTTGTTTATTTATTTATTTATTGCTAAAGTCACATTAAAAACAAAGTTATTTTAAGGATGTAATTTAATTTGCACTTGGCATTTTCATCTAAATTCAGATTAATATGATAAGTTAGTTATACAGTATAGACGAAATTTATCTTAGTTTTTAAAGCACATCATGAATTATTTCTTATGAAGAAACATTTCAGGGTATTTTGGTTGGTGTATTTTCTGTATGTGAAAAAAAAAATGTTCAAACAATTTCTCATTTCCTCAAACTTAGGGTCGGCCGCACATACTGAAGGGATAATATTATAAATTCTATTTAACCAACAAAATGGCGGTTATCGCAATTATACTGGAATCCGTGCTTGCCATTGGAACAAGTGACCTTAATAAATAACAACCATCTGAAATGAACTCTTAAGAATCCAAACTTTCAACTTAGAAAAAAATCGGGAATAACTTTAATGTCGGAAAAGCTTCATTAACCATTATTAAGCATGGAAAAAGTGTCGTTTTCTTCAAGGAAAATCAATTTTTTTGCCCACAGTGAACAGTTGTTTTCCTTTTAATCCATCATCTTATTTCTGCCTAATGAATTTTTTTTTAGAATTATTGAATGATATTATGTAATATGTATAAAAGTTCCAGTGACTGGCCGTCAAGGGCCGTGTTATTCTCTATACGCCATGTTTTGGGTGTCATTTTGTTACTGAATGCATATGAGAAGAAGTATAACACGAGTTCATAAAGCAATTTTATTATATGATGTAGCTTTCTGTTTACAACTGTATTTTGATATATTTCAAAGTTCAAGCCTTGTATCCTATCCCCAACTGTTACCTTTTGCTTCTGTATATATATATATATATATATATATATATATATATATATATATATATATATATATATACTCTCTTTCTTAACTAAACGCACCCAGTTGTATAGAGCGTATTACAGTAAATAACTAGTATATTTCTACCTGAATATTAAATATTTAAAAAAAATCCCTTGGTCGTTTGTATTTAGGCCTTGCTCTGACAATTTCTAAAATCAATCTAAAGCATACGATCTACCTGTACGTACACACCCAGCATTATCTCACATAAGCAATATTTACAGATGTTGATAGAAATGTACGTTTATCAGTCCAATTATTAAAAACAACAGCGCCAAATATTCACTTGTTCTGAAACCAGTTAGCATTTTCATTCACACATTTCAGAATTTGGCCAAGCATATATAAACTAAATAGTCATATAACCAACATAGTCCTATTTTTATTTTATTTTATTTATTTATTTATTTATTTTTTTGTTTGTTTTCAAAAACTGCTATCCCAATAAAAGCTGTTTTACTGCAAAATTAAGAGCACAAACGTACAATTAAACACTGATAAGAGTTATATATCATCTTCAGAGACATGTTTCCATTTTGTCCTGTCCATTCCATCAACGGTTATTTCTTTTTTGCCTGATATTAAAATAGAAAAGCATATGAATTAATTCACCAATACTTTACATTCAAATTTCAGTAATAGATGGAAAATCATCATTTAATCTTGACACACTATCCTTGTGTTCGCAATCCAATTCTTATTCTGAACAAACAATTAAAATGACAAAATACACACCCAATGGCAAGCAAGTAGTAATTATACTGTAACCAGGTATTTTGGAAGTGACTGAGCATCGTCGAAGATAACATATATCTCTCCGCTTTGGGCTCGAAATGAATCAATCCCAGGGGGAGTGGAAGGCCTGTTATTCAGCCCAACATCTTCAGAACGTCCAGTCAGTACATCTGCCAGAATCAACATTCCATTGGACCCATAACGAAGGGAATAACTCGCATCTTTGGCAAAGTAGGTCCCATCCCCGTAAATACGCCCTGTATTTAAAAACCAACTAATTAACGAGACAAATTCAGTACAAAATATCTATGTCATTATGTTTGGTGGTATTTTTGGTGTTGGTGGGAATGAAACAGCATGCAGCAAAGAAGTGTGTGTGTGCGAGAGAGAGAGAGAGAGAGAGACAGAGAGAGAGAACAGTCGAAAGATTATTACCGTTCTGCTTTCCAACACCGCGCTTAAAACCAGTGTTGCTGATTAGCTGAGCAGCATCATTACCAGTTCCATGCCAAAGTTCTTTTTCAATGGGAGAGTAGGCGTTCACTTTGTCCTTCTGCATTCTTCTCTTTGTAAAAAAGGTATCGACCACTTAATATGGCGTGCTTAATTTTACAAATCTGAAAGATGGTAGGTAATACTCAATAACGATGCTCTCAGTAACAGAGATACACAAGACACAGTGTGAATTTCAAACGTATTTTTAAATATTGAAATATCTTAAATGCTGTCAATTAAACATAGTCAAGTAATGATAAAGTGTATCTAAAAGTTTAAGCATAAAATATTAATTTAAAAGTTTGTAAGGCATAGGGATCACATATTGCCCACTTCCACTACTGAAGATATTTCGTTATCTGCTCTGTGAATAACAGCGTACCGAGAGACAGTCACTATTTTCAACATCTTTTCTTAAGTTTCAAATGTCCAGAATTGTTTAATTGTTGACATTTATTATGTGCATCACATGATATTATTGACTAGCATTTTAAAATCGATGAATGAATTTCAGGTTTACCAATAATTACCAATTACCACACACACCTTTTTGATGAGGACGATTTTGCGGATTGTTTGAAACTTTTCAGGGCGTCTTGATATTCTTTACTGCAATTAGACAGTTCTTCCACTTTTGCTGAAAATATAGTTAGAATAAGTTAGTCGAAGAAATAAACAAGGCAGCAAAGCTGTCAAATGTACAGGCAAAAAGCAGAAAATAAAGATGCAGAAAATAGGTCATTTTATCAATTTTGATGCAATAATAAATAATGCTTATAACAGGACAGTCAATCAACACTAAAATGTAATTAAGCACAACATGTAACATTGTCAATAAGATTACAGTCTCAGGACCATATGTTCAAATTCACATAAAGAAAATCACAATATGTGAAAAATGATGACAGTACATAAAATAATATCACATAATGTTTAAAGACATAAAAACCAATACAACTGCTCATGTGGAAATGCAGAAAATGCACAGGGCTTATGGTGGATGGGAGTTAAAAGTCACATCTTTAAGATGCTAATGATGTGACTTATAATGTTTAAATTAATGTTCTATTGTCCCTTAAAGATCAGATACGCCAAGAGTTTGCACCCTTTGATGTTGATGACTATCAAACTACCTGAGTAAGATGCAAAAGGGTGCATTGGACTGCTATTGTGGCCATAGAGGCAACTGACAAAGTGTTGCATAACCAGTTGCAGAAGGTTCAGTATCAAACATTTTAGAAACCTTAATAAATAATTCTGCAGATGGAGCCTAGGAAATTACCATGAAGTTATGAACAAATATATTGCAGGATATTTATTAAATAAAAACTTATAGATATGATGAAGTGGTTCATTATCCCCTACCCCCCTCGCTCTGCCACAAAAAAATTAGGTTTCTTTTCAGGACCCCACCAGCATCTTTGAATATGGCCAATCGACAGGCAAGAGATCGGTACCGATTTTTTGGATTTACACTTTTTGTGTCTATATATTTTAACTGACACTTTTAAGTGTTAACACTACACAAGGCGAATTTTATTTAATCCTACAAATGAAAATACGTGCGCTATTTGTTTGGGTATTTATAACCTCCGCCAAGGAGGTTATGTTTTCACCCCTGTTTGTTTGTCTCTTTGTCCGTCTGTCCTCAACATAACTCAAAAAGTTAAGGACCGATTTTGATAAAATTTTCAGGAACTGTCAGAAGTGGGCCAAGGAACAGATGATTAGTTTTTGGTGGTGATCCGGATCAATAATTAATCAATATTCAATAATCAAAAATATCGAAAATTTAGGGGTGAAACGGCATTGGATGGAGACTTTGCTGCCTTGGCGGAGGTCTGCGCTCTCTGAGTGCTTTTCTAGTTATTTATGCTAGAACAGTACGTAATTTTAATTAATTCAACATTATCTAATGATAAATAATAACTTAACACTATTCTTTTACCAGAAGGACCTTTCAATAAAAGCGTCCGCTACGGGCCAATTTTCAAAGACCATATTTGTGTTTGTCCTTTAATTATACTTTCGCTATGGTTACCGTTAATGAGGAGACATAAAAGTTTTATAAGAGCTGAAATACTAGTGAATATGTTTTCCTTTTCATGTAAAAATAATCAGCAAAATAGTTCAAAACTAAATAATGGATGATTTTTATAATAAATCATCCATTAAATTCTAGGCCAACCTACCCATTTGAAAACTTCCGGCCATAGATTTTTCATACACGACAATCGTTAACTTCTTCACAGTCAACTTATCACCTTGAGCGTATTGGGCAACGCCTTCAAACATTCCTTCAGATACCACATCGGGGTCGCACCTGCCAGCTCCTTAAATGGATTGATGCATGCCCTTATAACATTTTGGTAGCACTTCGAAATGAGGCAATAAGTAAATTTTGTAAGTTTTGTTCACAGATTTCTAGCATTACAGAAACAACGTATCTCTATTAAAATCTATTATCTTTTATGACTACGGTATACTATGTCGTTGAACAACGTGTGTGTGTGTGTGTGTATTTGTATGGTGGACCCTAGTAAAGCAACAAAATCATCTTCAAGCACAAAAATACGTGAGATAAAATTGTAGGTCTACCTGTTCCAAACGCAGGTATTACGATAGATGTTATGCCCAAGCTGTCTGCTTTATTCAACACTTTCAACATTTTATCCTTCCACGACCCTCGATGGTGAATGTCCAGATGAATAACGTGCTTGCAGTTCAGTTTACCAGGGACGGTTACTGCGACACCATCCGTGGTTCTCGCTGAAGTGAAATGTTAATTCGTTAATGAAAAAAAACACGCCTATTCGCCACATGCAGTCATATCTGTAATATCAAACAGTTACACAAATATTACTAAAATGTCAGTGACGTGATTCTGATAGTCGCTTTTTCATGGAATGACCCCTACTAGTAATATGAAGTAAAACAAGAATTCAGTGTGGCAGTTAATGTAAGGGGCATTAAAAGGGGACTAATGTATGGGACGGCAATAGTCACGACAACACGAGTGAGACACAGATAGTCAGAATACTCAGTTATGAAGATACTGGCTTACAGTTTATATAAAAACAGAATGTAAAATTCAAGATGAGAAAATAATGGTGTCCTTACCGGCGCGACATGCCTTTTCAAATTCGACTCCACCAACAATACGCAACCGTTTCGCAAGAGCACCTTAAAATAAATTCAATATAATAATATATTACCTTTTTTGCAACTAGAAAAAATAGTGTAAGGAACTAAATAAAGGGTAAAAAGAAAAGAAAAAAAGAATGAAAGAAAAAAACGACAAAACATTATGCATGAAGATTACGAAAAAACATCATAACGCTTCTAATGATACTGCTGCGATTCACACACTATTTGAGTGATACTTTACTGGCCCTTAGCCAGGGGGGATTCAGGGGTTTCGAGCGAACCGCCCTTTTTGTCGACAAAAGGTACGCCTTTGGTAAAATTTGATCTAGGTAAAAGAAGGGTTCATGGTTAAAGGTCCATTCTCTCAGGAAAAGAAACTCTTTCTAAAATGGCTGGCTACAGGCCTTGTTTACCTGTCATCAAATCCAAATCGGAGTCGGTAGAGTTACAATATGCATCTGCCTTTAATTTTGTCATGTCAACGCCCACGACTACCTCGACGTCGATCGCATTGATCTGCAACTCCTGTTTTTCCAGCGGTTGGGAGAATATGGCGGGCATCTATGGACACAAGAGAGATTACTATTAATACACCATTGCTGTTATGATTGTACTTGCATTCTCCTTGTAAATGTAGAGAGGAGGTATACCTCTAAAGAAAAAAATTGAAAATGAATGAATGCACTCAATAGCCTGGGACTTTATTATTTGGCGGCTGTGTTATTTATTTATTTATTTATTTATTTATTTATTTATTTTTTTTTTTTTTTGTGTGTGGCGCATTTGCACCCCCACCTTAAATAATTACATCTTTCTTTTCAATTAATTTCAATTACATTATCATAATTTATTAGCCTTATCGCATTATTATCATTGCCTGTGTCGAATATCCCAGTGACTCCCTTCGCCATAAAACTGTTCATGTAATTATTAAACAGAGCAAAAATTGTTTGTAGCATTATAAGTATGTTTACCCTATACCAGGGTCGTAGATCAATTATGTGCACGTTTCTCCAACGCGAGAACAGAAAATCATGTCATGAATTAGGCCAGTGAGCTAAATATGTAACTCATTGATTAGCCAGAGTGAATATCTAGTGAAAAAATCAATCTGTGACCCAGGCAGAATGTAGTAAATGTTTATGTTCATGTGATTATGAATGTGTACTGTGCGTGTCCTTCGTTGGTAGTGCATATAGTACGCACGGTAGGCCTACATGTTAGATTATTTTATTTTATCTTTACTCAGTCTTCAACAGTTGGAAGGTATATGGTAGAAAAAAACCAAACATTACGAAATGTGTCTTATTTGTTGATAAAATTCTCGATTTCCCATTCGTAGTTAAATGGCGTATTATAGATTCAACAATTTTTCAATATTTTTCATGGACGGGTATATAATATTTAGCGCTTAACTGGTAGAGGTCACGTAAAGGTAATTACACTGCTAGACGTAAAAGGGACGACCTCTGACGACACGGAAGCCTTCGTAAAAGTCGCTTAGGATATCTTCATGGTAAAGGGTCTTGAACAGCGAGAAAACGTATTTGATGACCCACTTTTATTTACATGGCTTATCCAAACACATTCAAATACCTAAGCGGTGTTTTGCACCATAATAATCATGGGGAAGTTGAAATATCGAACTGTAAAAAAGCCCACTTCGTGTGTCTCAAAATTGTAAGGCTGTATTGTAGAGAGAGATTAATCCTGACCTCACCGTCTCAGACATTTATACGGCTATGAATGTTAAGAAGTTTGAGAGAATTGTTTCAACTCGGTAGGCCTACATGTTGTCATCACACGCCTGTCAATGGAGAAGCGTCACTGGTCCCTTGTCCCTTTTGGTGGTCGGTTGAAATTCAAAAGCGAAAAATGTTTTTTATTTTACCTATGATAAGGTGTATATATCCTGTGTCAGATTTAAGCTCGGTAAAGCATCTTTTGAGAGGCGGGTCTACGTGACGTGTGCCGTTTAATATACAGTATGTAGTAAATAATTTTACCTAATGTTAAATTATTGTTACCATTTAAAGATGTACATAATTTAATGGTAACAATAATGTTAAATTATTGTTACCAGCGCTCTCAAGCGGCAAGGTATTCCTTGGGATAGGTTTTTAGAGTTCAATCTGGAATATTATTCCAGGCATCGGTCCAAAATTGTCCAATTTGGCCCAGTTTTGATGTAGGCAGTTTATTCGGCGAGTAATGGCTTACCCACATATTGTCTATGCGGTTCAAATGTGGCGATTTTGATGACCAGAGTAGCTGCTCATTCTCTTATTTACCTTCATTGTAATATATACATAAAATGCATACAAAAAACGACAGTGTTTAAACAAAGTAAGACTTCCTTTCTTAAACACTTGAAAATATTTCGTCTGCTGACAGAATGAGGGCTGCGGTAGATGTTACCACCTATCAGGTGTACTGATTCAGTTAGGTGATCCCTCCTCTACTCACCAATTGAAACTTTATTTGTTAATGTGAAAAACAAAAGAAAACATATTATTCTCGTTACCACTTGATAACGGAAGAGCTGTTGAATAAAAGCAGTAATTTCCTACAGAGCGAAAATTTACGCCTTACGAATTAGATGCAGAATTACACCGAAGTAATGTATGTTAGTCATCCAGCCGAATACATACAAAATTATTGAAATATATTACCAGACATACCTACATAGATTTACGAAGGGTTAGAGAAAACTAATTTATCGATTATTTTTACCCTTATGTTGAAAGTAGATATCTGCCTTGATACAGACGAAACGAGGCGCAACGTTTTCAACTAGACAAAATTGTAAGTTCAGTTATATATTAAGATAACTTTTTATATGCATTGTGTTATGCGACCAACAGATAAGCTTACCTTCAATGAAGAATAGTATTCTTATCGTCAGAACTGTTTGATATTATTCAATTCTTCTTCAGGTGTAGGATACCTTTTGTTGTCAGTTTTCGTTTCTTATTTTACTGCGACGCAGTTGTCCGTATTATGAAAAATATGGCGCTACTTCACAGTAATAGAATTGACCATGGGAAACTCCCGATCGATTAACAAATCCAAGATCTCAATTTGTCTATTGCTATTGGATCCGAAAGTGGGATTTTTTTCATGATGAAAATATCCAATGGTGTTTTTTTCATCCTTAATAATCATTGTGGCGAAGGAGAAAAGTACAGCTTAAGAGCCTTTTATCGCGTTGCACCACCTTGTTGCGTTTCTGGGTAAATAGATTGGCCACTTACTTAACTTACACAAATTCACCGATTCACCAATTCGTTAATATAAGAGGTGGGGCTTAAGCCATTTAGGAAAAATCAATTGGAAAAATATTCAAGTTTGGAAGTTTTCAGCCCCCGTTTCGCATTAAACAACGTCTTTACATTTACCCCAAAGTGAAAAGAAAATATCTGCCTTGATGCAGACGCAACAAGACGCAAAGTTTCAAAAGAATTTAAGTTATATGCCTTGTGTTCTGCGACCAACAGATAAGCTTACCTTCGATGAAGAATAGTGCTTTCTTTAATCGTCAGATCAGTTTGTTATCATTCAATTCTTCTCCGGGTGTAGGATACCTTTAGTTGTTATCACTTCTCGTTTCTTATTTAACCGTGACTCAGGTGTCCGAATAATAAAAAGAAAATATGACATAGAATTGACAATGGGAAACTCCTAATCTATTACCAAATCTGAAACTGTCTCAATTTGTCTAATGTTATTGGATCCGAAACTGGTATTTTTTCATGTTGAAAATATCCTATTGTGTTTCTTTTAATGCTCAATAATCATTCTGACGAAAGAAATACAGCTTAAGCTTATACAACATTGGTCAAAAAGGTTGTCCCACCCCCATTTCCCTGTACTTTTATTTACAAATGATCACCTCACAGCTGTAAATTCTTAGAAAAACTGCTTTTTATTACAGATACCATGTCTAACATGATAATGGTTAAAATAATACAAAATAGTGGTGAAAATATACATATTTTATACCATTTAGTAAAATTTATAAGAGGTACCCCCTCAAATCCACTGTTTCACTGTGACTTCTACAGATGTGAAAAAATGTCTATTGAATTGAAAAGACGCCATCAAATGTCACCAAATTCACACACAATTAGCATTAGGGTGTGCTCGTTAAAGGTCACGTGCCTATCAGCGTGTGCGTCTACCGCGTACTGCAATTATATCCTGTAGGCGGCGCGACAAGCCTTCAACACGGGTAACAATTCTGTTTGGCTTATGTCGAGCATTTTTATGAAAGGTCGGGCATTAAGCCATTTAGGAAAAATCAATTTTAATTTTAAAAAAATCAAGTGTGGAATTTTCTCAACCCCCGTTTCGCATTGTCTTCACATTTGCCTTTAGGAGTCGGTTTTATAACTTGTATTTCCTTCTGTAGTTGATTCTTTTGTTTTACTCTTCTAATAAGCAAAAAAAAAAAAAAAAAAAGAACAAAGTACGGAAAAATGAATTTTATGAATTATAATATTGTCGTTTCCATTTGATGAGGGAAGGTATAGTTGCAAAATGGCTAGACCAACTTACCTTCAGATGAAGGATGGCAGTCTTTTTCTTCGTGGTAAAATCGTTGTCTTTCCTCCCTTTTTCCTCAGGTGCAGACCCTTTGGCAGCTTGTTTACGTTTGTTTTTTTTTCTTCCAGCATCGTAGATGTTCATGTCCTTAAAAGGAAATATCACACCCCTTTCTTTTACACTGTATGGTGATGTATGCTGGGAAACTCCCGCTCTACTTTATTTCCAAGAACTCTCTTAATCACACCTTTCCTACTGATTCAAAAGTTGTTGACATAGCCAACTTTTCTTGCCATTCTTTACCATTGTCTGCAATAGATTTTTCCTCGTCACACCGCAGGTTTTTGTATCAGTCAACAGCATGTACCCAGTAGGGGTGGAGGCCCTCATTGCTGCACAATCATAGCTGATACAATTTTTAAAAGATATCTATATTCACATAAATATTACTTACAGTATATAATTCATTATTTCAGGTCCGTCAATGAATATCCGAAAAAAATCTAAATACTTCTGTTTCTTCAATTTTACTTTTCGACAGGACCTTTTTCATTTGTGCCCACATGTAGGCTACGTGTAGGGGCCTACGTGTATCGATATGTTTCATTACTCAAAAAATTAAATTTAAATATCAAACATTGGTTATAGGCCTACTATAGCTTTCTCTTGAAAAAACGCATTTTTATGAAGGGATAAAGAAAACAAATTTGTCGTTTGTTTTTACCCTAATGTTGAAAGTAAATATCAGCCTTGATGCAATATTTACTCTGAATATACACGATCAAAAAGCATGACCTCGTCTGAAGTCACATGATGACGTAGCACTGATCACATGACCAGGAAGTCCCAGTTATATTTAGGGACTAGAAACTGAAACCAAAACAACGCAGGCAGGAAAGATCGAGGAAGGAAAAGACAACAGTAAGTGATTTATAATGATGTCGTCGATATTCCACTAGATAATACAAAAACCAATTAGTTGACGATGTTCTTAACGTATGTTCCAATGTGTGACTTGAAAAATACGTTATCACTACAATAGTATCAGTCTGTGCCAAATTATTTCAACCCTACTGGCTCGTCGGACTCGTCGGTACAGTCAGAGCATCAACTTAAACAGAGCAGTGACCAGTGACCGAACAAATTTACAAATATTTATTGACCCAGCTTCTATTCTACATGTGATTTTCCTGGTATCTGGCGTGGCATTTTAAGACTTTTAACGTCACAGACTGTGGGTTATAGTATATCAGTAGTAGACGGTACGTACGGATTATTATTACTATTTAAATTACCTGTTTTTAGGTTTATGTCTTGTAGAATCAATGAGTCCTCCCCATCCCGGTGGTACGACAGTCTCATATATTCAACTCAATGATGCTAATCGTATCAATAGGTAACGCAATGCTGTAGGTGTTTACAATTTCTTGAGCTGAACTTAAACTCTGAACATCTATATGGTATTAAAAAGAGAAATACAGATGTCACATCGTTTGGAGAGGCCAATTGTTTTTCTTTCACATTTTTTTATCTTACTCTGATACCCCAAGTTGCAGAGATGGGCCTGACCCCCCCCCCCCCCCCAAACCCCCAGTAGCTGGTCAATAGGCACCCTTATAATGCAGGTTGAGTTATATAGCCAATTATATAGATACATGACTTGTGGGATGCGTCAAAGGGGGGGGGGAGGGGGGCAGAACTGCTTTTTTGCCCTGAAAGGGTAAACTCCTAATCAAAAACTAATCTAGGTTCCACANGATGGGCCTGACCCCCCCCCCCCCCCCCAAACCCCCAGTAGCTGGTCAATAGGCACCCTTATAATGCAGGTTGAGTTATATAGCCAATTATATAGATACATGACTTGTGGGATGCGTCAAAGGGGGGGGGGAGGGGGGCAGAACTGCTTTTTTGCCCTGAAAGGGTAAACTCCTAATCAAAAACTAATCTAGGTTCCACAAAGTATGTCCTTTCTCAATTTGGCCAACGCATAGCACTGAAAAAGCCCACATTTTCAGGATATGTTTTGAAATTGCTGACTTCAAGGCTTCGCTAATTATTTCAGATGGCGAGAGCGACCCCAAGCGGTCTGGCCCACCAGCAGCAGATACTGAATACTACAGACATCGTGGTGGTGCTTAAAGACATGACAGAAGTGAACGCCGATGTCTACTGCAATAGCTGTACGTCCAACCTGGAAGGAGGTAAACAGAGTAGAGCTAGACCTTCTAACTAAACTAGACCCTTTACCATTGCCACAGAAAAGATATGGGTGGATATCCTCACATAATCTTTAGTGTAGAGCTAGACCCTGTGCCAAGAGTTTATCAATCAATCAATCAATCAATAAATGAATTAATTAATCAATTAATTAATTAATCATAGAGAGAGAGGGATGATTGATTTATCTACATATTATCAGATATTTCTAAAAGTAGAGCCCGTAGAACGAGACCCTTTCTACACAAATGAATATATTTAAACCATGGTGACCCATAAAACATTTTCAACTTTATATAATCCCCCCCCCCCCGAGGAAATTGTTTAATTACGGTGTAAATACAATCCTACTATCCTTCAAAGAAGTGGCATACTTCCATTAAATAAGGTACAATTTTCATTATTTTTTCCTCACTGCAGTTTTATTTGCTGTGTAATCATGCCCATATTATGAGTGATATCAGGCACAAGGTCACTGTCATAAAGTAGATAAAAGAAGGTCGGTTCATATTAGATAAAATTTAAGGTCGCAAAGGTCGTTGTTCGTTCTCTTGTTGCTCAAAGGCACCTTGAATTTAGTAAGGGATTACTAGCGGCCGCATCGAGCTACATTGTATCGTACTTCAGCGATACATTTTCAGGGACTCTATCATGTATTTACGCGACAGGGGGAGTTATACTCACTTTCATAAGTTCGATCCCTGCTGTTGAGGATGGGGTGGGAAAGAGAGGTTAATTAAGAGCGTGGGGATGCCAGTCTCTCAAAGTTGTATTAAGCAGTCGCACTTGCTCACTGTTACAGCACGCAGTTTATTCAAAAATTTCACTTTTACGCATGCAATTTTTTACCTATCAGCCCCCCGTACTGGTACTAACAAAAAAAAGTTCATCATTATGCTCCAAAACGTAGTTTAAGATCACTTGACCAGTTTTTGCTCACGCCGTAAAATGCCAGGATTGAGAACAGCTTTTCAAGTCTATAGACCAAATGAATGGAACATTCTCTCGATATACTTAAAAACTATAGAGTCTGCGGACAATTTTAAAAAAGAATTAAATTCTTTTATTTTCAATTTATATCTGATTTAACTGGCTGTTATCTTTACATTATACTATTTGTTTTATATCTTCTCAGATATTAAAATATTTTAATTGTCTATCTATTTATTTATTGAATTTATTTATGTTGTTCTGTTCATTTTACCCCTGTGAAGTCTGTTGAACATTTTATATGGATTTTAGAATATACATAAATATTATTATATTATTTTATGGCTAACCTGTATCGCTAAAGTGTGCCACACAATGAGTAGAAAGTTTCACGTATGTTACATAATTCAAAAAGTTTTTTATGTTTATTTTCAGGTGAACTGGCCAGTACCCTTGCTAGAGTCGGAGGAAGAGGCTATGAAGAATCGAGAAAACGCGTTGGTAGGTTTTAACACTTGCATTATCTTCTTATTCAGTTCCTTTAGCTTTTTAGAGTATTTTTTAAAGCAGGCTTTAACAGAAAATCTATCTTTATCAATTATTTTTCAAAATATTTAATACACTTTTATGCACAGTGGATATAGTTTATCACGAGCTTCTTTGAATTATACCACGCTCTTTAACACAGTGCCCCTCTCCGCCCTCTTCATTAATACTAGTGAAACAAATCAACTGTTGATATTTCATCATACTGCACATGTGCATCTTTGACTCTTTTATGTAATGTTCAGTTTATTGTTATGGTTTCTAATACATGTACATAAAGGTGGCGGCATTGCCATTTAAATTGCGTCCGTATTTACAACAGGTCGGACAGGGAGCAACGGCCTGGCGGTCAGTGACCCCGGTGACCTGAACTGTAAACACGTGATCCACCTGGATATTTTTTCAAATGGCACGTGGAAGGACAGAACGATAAGAGTGTTGCAAGAAGCGAATCGCCTTGAAGCCCAATCTATTGCAATGCCTGCATTTGGCACAGGTAAAAACTACTGGGTTGAACAATGTGTGGACAGGTTGTGTAAATTCTCTATTTCAGAACGGTTTTACATTTTTTTATTTTTCATGTTCATTCACATTTCTGCTGAATTTCATTTATTCCATCTATATCGTTATGTTGTTCTAGCGAGCTTGTATATCATCTTAGAATGTAAATTATAAAATGCACTAAGTTTAATTCGTGAAAAATAAAATTACAAAACCTGAAAAATATTTCCAATTACTCCAGTTCTTGGATTATTGTTAACATAATTTTTTTTTCTGAAATATCCGTCCACCTCTGTCCAGGAGCGGCCAGGCAGGACCCCCAGGCGGTAGGCAAGGGGATGTTGGAGGCAATAGCAGAGTTCGTCTTACAGGGCGGGTGTACAACTCTTAATCGGATTACTATAGTGCTAGTACAAGAGAGGCTTCTGGACAGCTTCAACATGGGTGGGTTAAAACAACTGGAAATTTTTCTCCATTTCTTAGACGTATTGCATTTGACTTGACCCATTATTGCCATCGCCTACGGACCTTTGTGTGTATCATATTAACTTTTTTGTTTTCATTTAAGTTTTTTATGGAATTTTCACCGCGGTGAAAAATAATTTACACCGCGGTGGAAATTCCATAAAATAAAATAAAATAAAATATAATAAAAAATAAATACAATATGATACTAACAAAGCTCCGTAATCGCCAAGGAGGTTATGGTTTTGCGTTTGTTGCACTGTTGTTGATTTAGTTACATGTTACAGCCTGACGTAAAAAATCATTCAAAAATTTGATAAGATTTAGAACCGCCACTGGTATAATGCATGTATATATAATATGCTATGACTAAACCGTGAATTCTTAGACTACATGTATGTATCTTTACAGCGGAATGTGTCCCTCTCCAGCCTCAGGACCCAGAGTATCTGGGAATTTCCCAGAGCCGAGAGTTCCGAGGAAGACTAATTGAAAGAGTAAGTTTTTTTTAATTTTGTTCGGGAATGGAGCCAAAGCAGACGTTCTGCCTCAGAAAGTAAGCCTCCTCTTGCATGTACATTGTGAACGCTCATAAAATGAAAATACACACATCTCGTTTTCAGATCGAGCGGCTGCCTCAACCTATTCCCCTACAAACATTTCCAAGGGATGTGCCAAGGGATATTGACCTAGCGCCAGACAGATACGTGGCGGCCTCTAGTCAGCCTAGACCACACTTGAGACGCTCAGGTCAGAGGTAGTTTTATTAATCCACTTATTTTAAGAAATAAGTGCAGAATTGGTTTAACGTTTTGCACTGAAAAGTTTTAGGATAAATAAGCAGCAATACGAGAGAAAGACGGAGCTTGTTTCAGACAAATACGTCCTTTAGGTTAAAGTTTAATTTGAACACGAACGTCAAAGAATCAAAAACAAGATCAAAAGCTTATGTTAACGAGTACTTTGTGCGAATAAGGTCCTTACTCTAAGCTAGTAGGTTAAAGTAAATTTTGTAGCGTTGGAGTAGATTTGAATGTTTTTGTTTATATGTATAAATTAATCTATCCAGTTATATAAGTAATATAAAACAGACTGAGACAGACTGAAGTCATAGTTTTATGAATTGAAAGGTACAAGCAAAGCAACAAATGAAAATATACACAAAGTGCAGTGATTGATTCCAATAAATTTGCGAAATATTGGATAAGAAAATGTTGGTATTAAGAACTAAACTTACAATATAGACTTTGAACTATTACAGCATTTATTTTCACAGAGGCCGGGCGTGTAGAGCCGCATTTTGCAACCGACCGCATTTTGCAACCGGTTGCAAAATACGTTCAGTTGCAAAATGCGGTCCTACTAAGTAGAGCCGCATTTTGCAACTGAACGCATTTTGCAACTGCAACGCATTTTGCAACCAAAGCAAATCGTGAAAACGCATTTTGCAACTGCAACGCATTTTGCAACCAGGATTTTTTTTCTAAGTCCTTGAAACAGCTTGAAGTTCGAGACAGGTAGAATTGGAGTGGGGACGGGTTTGCTTCGACTATGTATGCTGAAACTGGCCAGGCTGCCCCTGGGGTGGACGAAAATATAAAAACTTATTGCACATTGTAATTTCCTAAACCATTAGAGTTAGGAACTCTAAACGTTAATAAACATTTTGTTAGGCATGTGCATGGGATTTCGGATTTTTTGTTT